GGGACAACCTGGGACAACTGGGGACAACCGAGAGGACAGTTAGGGGACAACCAGGGACAACTGGGGACAACAAAGGGGACAGTCAGGGGGCAACCCTGGGACAACCATGGGACATTCAGGGCACACTCAGGGGACACTCAGGGGACACTCAGAGGGACAACCCGGGGCGATAGTCAGGGGGACACTCAGGGGACACTCAGGGGGACACTCATGGGGACACTCAGGGGCACCTCAGCCTGATTGACCCCCCATTGACCCCAGGGAGTCATCACCAATGAGAAGAACCTCCAGAACCCAAACCCACCAAGCCTGGTCTGGTACAGGAGACCCCAAGGACCAGAGAAGGTGTGAAGGACCCAAAGAAGGTGTGAAAGGTCCAGATAAGATGTGGAAGCTCCAGAGAAGGTGTGGAAGTTCCAAGGAAGGTGGAGAAGATCCAGATAAGATGTGGAAGATCCAGAGAAGGTGTGGAAGCCCCAGAGAGGGTGTGAAGGCCCCAAAGAAGGTGTAGAAGCTCCAGAGAAGATGTGGAAGCTCCAGATAGGATGTGGAAGCTCCAGAGAAGGTGTGAAGGACCCAAAGAAGGTGTGAAGAACCCAGAGAAGGTGTGGAATCCCCAGAGAAGGTGTGGAAGCCCAAGAGGAGGTGTGAAGGCCCGAACCCAAAGGTGAAGAACCCAGAGAAGGTGTGGAAGCCCCAGAGAAGGTTTGAAAGTTGCAGAGTAGGTCTAGAATCTCCAGAGAAGGTATGACAGCCCCAGAGAAGGTCTGAAAGCTCCAGAGAAGATGTGGAAGCTCCTTGAAAGTTGCAGAGTAGGTCTAGAATCTCCAGAGAAGGTATGACAGCCCCAGAGAAGGTCTGAAAGCTCCAGAGAAGATGTGGAAGCTCCAGAGAAGGTTTGAAAGCCCTAAGGAAGGTGTGATGGCCCCAGAGAAGGTGTGAAGGACCCAAAGAAGGTGTGAAAGGTCCAGATAAGATGTGGAAGCTCCAGAGAAGGTGTGAAGGACCCAAAGAAGGTGTGAAAGGTCCAGATAAGATGTGGAAGCTCCAGAGAAGGTGTGAAGGACCCAAAGAAGGTGTGAAAGGTCCAGATAAGATGTGGAAGCTCCAGAGAAGGTGTGAAGGACCCAAAGAAGGTGTGAAAGGTCCAGATAAGATGTGGAAGCTCCAGAGAAGGTGTGAAGGACCCAAAGAAGGTGTGAAAGGTCCAGATAAGATGTGGAAGCTCCAGAGAAGGTGTGAAGGACCCAAAGAAGGTGTGAAAGGTCCAGATAAGATGTGGAAGCTCCAGAGAAGGTGTGAAGGACCCAAAGAAGGTGTGAAAGGTCCAGATAAGATGTGGAAGCTCCAGAGAAGGTGTGAAGGACCCAAAGAAGGTGTGAAAGGTCCAGATAAGATGTGGAAGCTCCAGAGAAGGTGTGAAGGACCCAAAGAAGGTGTGAAAGGTCCAGATAAGATGTGGAAGCTCCAGAGAAGGTGTGAAGGACCCAAAGAAGGTGTGAAAGGTCCAGATAAGATGTGGAAGCTCCAGAGAAGGTGTGAAGGACCCAAAGAAGGTGTGAAAGGTCCAGATAAGATGTGGAAGCTCCAGAGAAGGTGTGAAGGACCCAAAGAAGGTGTGAAGAACCCAAAGAAGGTGTGAAGGACCCAGAGAAGGTATGAAGAACCCAGAGAAGGTGTTGAAGCCCCAGAAAGGTTGTGGAAGCTCCAGAGAAGGTGTGGAAGACCCAGAAAAATTGTGGAAGCCCCAGAGGAGGTGTGGAAGACCCAGAGAAGGTGTGGAGGACCCAAAGAAGGTGTGAAGGACCCAAAGAAGGTATGAAGAACCCAGAGAAGATGTTGAAGCCCCAGAAAAGTTGTGGAAGCCCCAGAGAAGGTCTGAAAGGTCCAGAGAAGGTCTGGAAGTTCCAGGGAAGGTGTGAATCCCCAAAGAAAGTGTAGAAGGCCCCAGAGAAGGTGTGGAAGCCCCAGAGAAGGTTTGAAAGTTGCAGAGTAGGTCTAGAATCTCCAGAGAAGGTATGACAGCCCCAGAGAAGGTCTGAAAGCTCCAGAGAAGATGTGGAAGCTCCAGAGAAGG